GTTTGAAGATAGTAATGCAAATTCTGAAAATAAAGCGCTGGCTGCAATTAAAGGCGCTTCTGATGCAACTGATAGAATTTCCGAACAGATGAGAAAGCAATTCAGAATTGAGGCAGTAGGTCTGATGAGTCTGTGGTTCAGCTTCGGTTCTGGGGTACTTGCTCGCTTCGTGGTTGAATGGGAACCGGGTAAAGAGGGCTGCACAATGCATGTTTCACCTGATCAGCTTTGGCCACATACAAAGGTCCGCTTTCCATTTTATTACGTGTAACGTGTTCTGTTTTTCTCTTGTCTTTTTTTTCTTGTCTGCAATACAATGAGCCTTAAAATGCATATGATCCTATAATTGGAGTTTTCTTGAGAGCTTTAATCTATACTTCGGTTGGTTATGTTATTGTGGTTTAAGCTATGGAATTCCTGTGAAAGATTCTGCATGTGGTGGCATTGCATTCTATCTTATTTTATCCTTTTGCCAGACCTCCATATTTTAAGCTCAAAACTTCTATTGTGGTTCCAATTCATAATGACTTCTATTTTACTGTGGTTGACGAACTCAGTTTCTTGAAGATTTCATCAACGGTGCTGAAGTTGCATCCCTTTTGGACTGCATCCGTCTCACTGCAGGACCCTTGCATGCTCTTGCTGCTGCAACGCGGCCGGCACGAGCAGCTCCAGTTTCTGGTGTTCCTGGTGTTACAACGCCTATGTCTTCTGTTGCAAAGCAGACTAGTTATGTTCCATCTTTACCAAGCAATGTAAGCACTAGCATAAATCAGCCTGTATCCGGACCTGGAGTTAATCCAGTTTCAGCTACTGTGGGTGCACTTGGCACGCACCATCCTAGTGCTGCAATGTTGGCAGCTGCTGCGGCAGCTGCAGGAAGAGGTGGTCCTGGCATTGTTCCTAGCTCACTGTTGCCCATAGATGTCTCTGTGGTACTTCGTGGTCCATACTGGATTCGCATCATTTATCGGAAAAAATTTGCTGTTGATATGAGGTGTTTTGCTGGAGATCAGGTTTGGTTGCAACCAGCAACACCGCCTAAAGGGGGGCCAGAAGTTGGAGGATCACTGCCATGTCCACAATTTCGACCTTTCATCATGGAACATGTTGCCCAGGAGCTGAATGGAATTGATTCTAACTTTACTGGTTCTCAACAAGCAGTTGGATTGACTAACTCAAATAGTTTAAATGCTGGTTCACAACTTCCAGCTGCAAATACGAACAGGACTAATCTCTCTAATTCTACTGGATTAGTTCGTCCAGCAAATGCTGTAACTGGTTTCAACCGTACTGCAAATGGCCTACCCGCAGCATCGAACTTAGCCATGGTGAATGCAGGGATGCCTTTGCGCAGACCACCTGGTACTGGTGTACCTGCTCATGTCAGAGGAGAACTAAATACTGCAATTATTGGCCTTGGCGATGATGGAGGGTATGGTGGTGGATGGGTTCCTCTTGTTGCTCTCAAGAAGGTTCTCAGAGGCATTCTAAAATACCTTGGGGTGCTGTGGCTCTTTGCTCAGTTACCGGACCTTCTGAAGGAGATTTTGGGATCAATTCTGAAGGATAATGAAGGTGCATTGTTGAATTTGGATCAGGAGCAGCCAGCCTTACGCTTTTTTGTGGGGTAAGGTTCCAATCATTCTGTATTGTATTTAATCCCTGTCCAATTCTCCTGCTGACTGCTTAGTAGTGTAGAGAACTTGGGAATAGAAGAGAACCTTAAAACTTGGGAATGGAAAAGGACCTCCAGAATCTCAATCCTCACATGTCCTCTAAATTGGATGTGTAAATGTAGCAATGGAAGAGAACCTCCAAACTATAAGTTCTCACACTTATCCTCTAAGTTGGACGCGTGTTGAATTTTCACTATATGAAACTCCAAACCTTTCTGAAGTTGTGCTTGTCATTTTTTCGTTCTCCTTGTTTTCCCCTGCCTTAGCTGGGGTTTTGATTTCTCATTAGTCATTTCTGCTAGAATTGTTTTGCATGTATTCATTGTCATTCAAATAATGATACTTAGCTTTCATTGTTTTACTAATTTTATGTTGTCTATAATAGATGTCACTTATGTTGCATAGGAGAAACATTCTTGGGTTGTGCAGTGTCTTATACGCTGGAAACAATCTAGGGGTATTAATATTTCTTCAAGGTTGTGAGAAATATGGGGGGTTATTGGACATAGAACTCCACATTCTTGTAATTTTTCACTTGCAAGTTTAGTTGGAGAGTGTTAGTAGAGGTCAAGAAATGATTCGATAACCCCCGGATAAATATCCGAATCTTTTGCAGGTTTATTTTTATTGTGGCTTCATGCTCTTTCTAATGTTATATTTTAGGAGTCAGGCGAGTTTACTGTATATGGTACCGTGTTTCTATTTGGTTTTTGTGCTCTTGGCTTTTCCATTTAGAACCATATGCCCTGGCCGAACTCCGTCTAGCCCCAGTTTATAATTTCTCACCTGAGAGTTTTGTCCATTTTAGTTTCACATAATTTCTTTTAGTATACTATGTTTGATGTACAACCTGATCTGCTTAGCATCTAAACAATCTAACCTGTTAACACTTTTTATCTGTTGGTTAGAAAGCTTGGTGCTTTTTAAATGTATAATCCGAATCATTATATCCCGTCTTTGAAATATCTTTGTGATTGTTTTGCTGGTGAACTTTATGTGTAGAATACTCACTGCTGCTTCAATATATTCTACTGACAGTCGCTTGGGTGTTAGCTAGTTTATATGGTTATTTTGTGCATGTATTATTTTTGTGATCTTGAGTTCCTATTCTGAAAGGAGTTGTTGCCACAGGGGCTATGTATTTGCTGTTAGTGTTCACAGGGTTCAGCTTCTCCTGCAAGTTATTAGTGTCAAGAGGTTTCATCAGTCGCAACAGCAGTCGCAGCAAAATCCTGGAAGTGCCCAAGAGGAATTAACACAAGCGGAAATAGGAGAAATATGTGATTACTTCAGCCGTCGTGTCGCATCAGAGCCATATGACGCTTCTCGTGTTGCATCATTCATTACACTTTTGACGTTACCTATTTCAGTTTTGAGAGAATTCCTGAAACTCATTGCATGGAAGAAAGGGTTGTCTCAAGTGCAAGGGGGTGATATGGTCCCTACACAAAAATCCCGTATTGAATTGTGTCTTGAGAATCATGCTGGATGTAGTATTGATGGTAGCTCAGAAAATACATCTGCTTCCAAAAGCAACATTCACTATGATCGGGCTCATAATTCTGTCGATTTTGCGCTGACGGTTGTTCTTGATCATGCACACATACCTCATATTAACGCTGCTGGTGGTGCTGCGTGGTTGCCTTACTGTGTGTCTGTCAGGTTGAGATATGCGTTTGGTGAGAACCCGAATGTATTGTTTCTGGGAATGGAGGGAAGCCATGGTGGACGGGCGTGCTGGCTGAGGGTTGATGACTGGGAAAGGTGCAGACAAAGGGTGGCTCGAACAGTAGAAGTGAATGGGAATTCTGCTGGTGATGCCAATCAGGGAAGGTTAAGGGTTGTTGCGGACAGTGTTCAGAGAACACTGCATGCGTACCTTCAGGGGCTGAGGGATGGTGGTGGGGTTGCTGCAGGCATTGGATTGTGAAACAGATATTACAAGGAAGTAGCTCTAAACAGTACGTATATGTAGTGCTGACTATCCTGAAAAATTCCCCAACAGATGTAACCGGAAGAACCAGCAACTGCTGATTAACACGTGAGCTCACCAGTTGGGATTTAGCTGGGATGTAAAGTAGGTTTCTTTTTCTGGGTATATGCGCGCTTGCAGTGGCTAACGCAATGAGGTTATCCCCTTGTACAGGTAACATAGATTGATACAAATCTTGCTGGAATGGTACGGATCTTTGATGGTGTACAAAGATCTGTTCTGGATGGTCAAACAAGATAAGCTTGACCACTATTAGAAGGAATCCGCATATCCCTTACTGTTGTAAATTGTGGCATGTGAAGGACCATTTATTTTCTTTCTGAAATCTTGTAAGTAGCAATTTGTTTCTCGTTGACCTATGCATTGCCAAGTTCTTTTGTATTTTTCTTTTGGGGTTTGGGGGTGGGTTGGGGGGTGGAACAACATGCATAAAATTTTGTAACATTTTTCCTATTGTGGTATTGCTCTGGAGCGCATAATGAGGCAATACAACAGTGGAAGCCAACATAGTGTTTATCTACTGTAATAGCACAATTACACATTTATAGACTTTTCTTTTTCCCTTATGGTACGGAATTCATACAGAGTTGTAATTAGTTTGGAGTTGAGGGGTAGTGGTTTTAGTTTAATTGTAGAAACGATAATTTATTTGGTAGGCTTTATTCATAGAGTTGGGTGAATGAAAAAAATGAGTTTGCTGGTTCATGTGTGGTGTAAAAGCAGTTAGAGAAGGATTGGCTATGTACAGTCTGCATGATGTAAAAGTGTTACTGTCTCTGCTAAATTGACCAAGCAATAAGGGACATAAACCTATAAAGTCAGAAAAACAACGGTGGTGTATTTTTAACACAGTACTCGAGTTTTTTGTCTCTATTCTCTTTCAAATTATTTCATCACACAGGGTAAGATCTAAAGATGAAATGACGCAATGTTTTTGATTACCAAATTTAAATACTGAACGTATTCAAAAGTTAAAGTAGTGTGCACTAACAATTAACATAAAGAAGAAGTTCTAGAAAATTAATATGAAACGTCAGATATAAATTCCTAACATGCTTTAACAACTAAAGGAAGAAGTAATCTAAATATTAAGCTGGTTCTCTAGAAGAAAAAAAGGTCATTAAAATGTTGAATAGGACCGTGGAAGAGTTTGGACTTCAATACTGGGCACAGAGGTATAGACAACTTAGAAGTGTATTTGGTTTATAAAGCATCATAAGGATTATTGCTAATCGGTTTTTTGCCTTGTATCAAGAGAAGTCATAGTTACAGATTCTACCTAGTTGAATTAATTAGTTCAACAATGAAAAAGGAAATGTGGGAAAATGTAAGAAAATTAAAAAGTTGTTCCTGTTGTTGATGAAGAACTGGAGCTAAGGCATGGTTAAGTTACCTAGTTATATAATCTTAAGCTGTCAATGAGGGAACCCTGGTATGTAAATCAAACACAACACCTCAAACATTACTGAGTCAAATACAATAAATGACCGTGTTGTAGGAACAAAAAATCTAGCAACTATAGCTGGAGGCAAACTTCATTTGTGGTTTTATGACCTCTCCTTCGTGCTTGAGACCGTAGCATCTTGCTTCTCTTCTTGACTAGCATCTATGGACTTCTCCATTGGGGGCTCCGCAGAGGCTTCTGGCTCCTTTTTTAACTCGGTTTCAAATTCTTTTGCCGCCTGTATTATGAGATATGTTAGAGATTATGTAAAACATCTCCCCTCTTCCCACTAAAGGGAGAAAAAAAAATATTACCACAGAACAAGAATCAAGAAGAAAAGAAGTTCCAGGGTTGCCCTGACAAAATTGGAGCTACGATCTTTTCATCATCTATAGACTTACAAAAGATTGAACCAAAAGTAAGATGATGAAAATAGTATTTAATTATTCTGTATAACACATAAGTGCTAACCTACTTATGTAAAGTCAATAAAGATATCTTCCTACTCCAATGGGACGACACAGAAATGTAGGATGGAAGCATCTCTATTTCATACAAGTCTTTACCGATTATCTCAGCACTTAGCAGGTGAGTCTTCTGGAACTACACATTGGCAGCATTTACCATTTTACCATCATGTGAAGAAATTGAATGTGGTTTTTATTTGTTGGCGTTGATGAACCTTCATTGAACGGGAGTGATATGTCTGTGTACTTTGAGAAGATTCTTCGAAAATGGATTAAGGATCAGCAATAAGTTGCAATATCCACCTTATTTAGATACATGTCGCTTCTATTAGTCATAGAGACGTTTCTCCCAAGCCTTGTAATGTTTTGTTAAAACCTGCTTTTTCTTGAGTTGGGCCCTTCTCCGGGCAGGAGGTTATGTAAGATATCTGTCCGTATTAAAGAATGTGGTTTTCCATGCACATGATGTGCAAAGATTTCACCAGACAATAAGCTCTTTCGCCAAAACCCCGCGAGAAATACAGGACATCTGAAGCCAAGCGAAAATAGGCACACCAGACCTATTCCTTCGATAATTTTAACTACTCCTACACTCTACCCACCACCACAATAGCTCACGGAACTTTCCCATGATATTCCTCGATTTTCATCGTCAGCATCTTAAAGCTAAAAATCTTAAGCCTGATGGAAGCCAGCACATTATATAGAAACACCATTTCATTACCAATACATTTGCACCATCAATTAGGATCATTATCTTCTGATTATGATCAAAGATTTTCAACTCCGAATTTTGCCCAACTAAAACTTTGTTAAAAGCTTATTAGTAATAATACTATGCACTTGAAAAAACCAAATGAAGTGCCAACCTTGTCTCACAGTCAAAAGGCATGATGAAAATTAGAAAAAATACGTGCATCTTAGCCTGATGATTAAAGTAACTTCTGGAGGTTTTCCTTGAAAATGCTAGGTGCACTAGCATAATTTTGTTTATTTATATGCTCTTTTTCTGGTTTTACAACCCTCAACCTAAAGGTGGAGGTTTGCTTTGTAAGCTTCTAGCCATCCGATAGTTCGTTTTCCTTTCTCTTGCACATGCATAACATTTGAATTTGTATTGATTCCAACATACAATGCCTCGTTTTCTAGCTTGGTCAGTAGAACCAAATGCAGAATTAACGACTACGCCATAAAGCAATTCTAGAGTCATAAGAGTTTATCTTATGACGTATAGTCTTCTCTCACAAGCAAAATGACAGTGGAAAAGGAAACATGCCATTTTCTCCCTCTGTTGGAAGAACAAAAGAAACCAAAAAGTCCATACATCTACTCCCTCCGTCCCAATTTATGTGGCACTCTTATCTTTTTAGTCAGTTCCAAAACGAAAGTCGTCTTTCCTTATTTAGAAATAATTTAGCTTTAGAAATCCGTTCACCCATAATGAATTACAATTTACAGCCACAATCTATGGTTTGTTTTAGACCACAACTTTCAAAAGTCTCATTTTTTTCCTGAACTCCGTACCTAGTCAAACACCACCAAATTCGGAAGGAGGGAGTATTACAACCAGCACGAGTGGCTGTATTTCAATTTCTTCTTCCTGGCAATGGCATACTTAGAAAGAACTAGTTCAGCTACTTACAAATCTCAAATCTATACCCACAATGAGAGCTATTTATGTGTCTAGGTCGATCAGAGGTTCCAATTCCTTTTCTCCACCTTTTAGCCTTCGCTAATTTCAGCCACAAGCAACTAAACTCGTTTCCAAAGTCGAAACTTGGAACATACCAATCAGACCCAAAAACTATCAAACATATGTAAATCACCCAAAAGATCCTCCGTCCCATAATTATGCCATATTATCCAAAACCAAAAGAAAAAACTTGATCCTTGACCAAAACGTTTAATGAAATACCACCATCCTAAAACCTAAAAAGTTCAAGTTTTCCTTAAGTTATTAAATCTCAAAATTTTATTTCCGGTAGGTGAATTATCTATTTGGGATTGAGTAATTGATAGCTAATTCAAGTAATAAAGTTATATACATTGACAGTGTAAATTTTACCTATTATAGCAAGTTAGGTACCATTTTTATCAGATTGCTAATTACTAATTTCTGCTAATCACAGAATATTACATGTCATTAACTAACAAATGACCTGATTTTGCAAAATATCTCGTGATTTAAATATCTATCCAACAAAAGGACTAAAATTTGGGACATAAAATGTAACCTGTTGGAAACTCTTGACAGTCTTGCCAATAGTGCGGCCAACTTCAGGCAACTGTTTGGGACCAAAAACAAGGGCAGCAACACCAGCAATCACCGCCAGCTCAGGCACTCCGAGCCCAAATAAGCAGTTACAAGAAAGACCCTTTTTGCCACTGCTCCTTACTTTTCTAGCTGGACCCACAAAAAGTGACCTGTTGCTGTTGAAGAAGAGTGACCTAGAGGAACATAAAGTTGGAATCTTAGCCGTTGAAACACACAAAGAAGAAGAAGATGAAATGGGTTTTGCTGTAAGGGATAGAGAAAGAGTTGTAGCAGCAGCAGAAGCTGAAATGATTGCCATTTTCTGAATCTTGACAGATTTTTTTTTTTTTGGGAAGATGAAATGGGTTTTGCTGCAGGTTTTGTTCAAGAAATGTGATGGATTGTTGCAGCAAGCTGGGGAGATAATTTTGGGAATTTTGTATGTGGGGTATGGCTTCTGCTGACCTTGTGGGTGTTATTATTATTGATTTTCTATACAAGATTTTAATATCTCCAGTAAAGGAAAACGTGGTATAGGAACAATATATTTGGTAGGTGGGGTTCAGAAATTCTTGATTTTCTAATTTGGATACACTTCTAGGTTGAAAAAATTAATGTACATTTAATCTAGTCGATTTAGAAAAGACCTCCTCTACAATTTGTTTACGTTAAGCAACGGTGCTAAAGAGTCAAGTATCATATTACTTGGACTATTTTATATGGCTCTCTTATCCCCAATATTACTACTTCCCTTCATCTATTTTCCTCTATATGTTTATCCTCTGTTTTTATCATAGTGGAAGTTGCTTTGTAGAGATCCTTGTACTGATAAAAAGAATATTTTTTTAATAGTATTAATAGGCGAAAGGAATGAAAAATAAAGAAGAAATTGTATTTTTATGGAGTGAAATGATTATTAATCTTCTTCTTTTCCCTATCTTCCCATTTTTGTCTTCGACGGGATGGGTTGCCTGTAAATTAAATAAATAGAAAAAAAGAAATTGCTAAATAGATGAAGCGCAAGAGAGTGCGCATTTGTCATTTAAGAAATTTTCTCTCATAATCTTACCAAATTTGAATAAAAAGCAAAATATATATTTGGATATCCAATTGTCAACTCTGCTTGGCGATCATTTTTCGCTTTGTTTCTCTATAGCTAATAGCCCGTTTGGCCAACTCTGCTTTTTTTTCAAAAGTACTTTCGGTGAGAAACAGTTTGTGTTTAACTAATTAATTTGAAAAGCACTTCTGAGCAGCAATTAGTGTTTGGGCAAGCTTTAAAAAACTGCTTCTAAATGTATTTTTCTCAAAAAAGTGCTTTTGGAAAGAAGCTACTTTTTTCTGCTTCTCCAAAACTGCTTCCGCTTCTCCTCAAAAGCACTTTTTTTCCTTCCAAAAGCTTGGCCAAACACCTCAATTTTTGGCCAAAAAGAAGCTTGGCCAAACAGGCTATTATAAGTCGCACTAATCCAGAAAGAAGTGCTTAATCGCAATGCAATTCTTTGAATTAGTGCATTAGGCATCTTTTGTTTTGTTTCTACTTATACTTTGGTTTCGGGATTCAAAGTAGATTTCTGGTCCAACAGTACCAATTGACAAGGCTTGCTTTAGTTAACTTGTTACTATTAGTTAATCTGGTAGTAACAAATAAGCAAAGCTTGAAATAAAAGTAGAGCTGATAGAATCACCTCCAAGAAAGAGGGAAAAGAAAAGGAGCAGAAAACATAGACCTGCATGTTTAAAATGTTGTTGAGGAATTAAACTCTCAACTATTGAAGACACGAGACATGGAAAAATCCAATCAAGAGAACACCCTTCAACAAAAAGCAAATTCAAACGAAGTTGCACACTTCAGCAGTAAGCACAACTTATGAAATTTTACTAGTCCTCCTCGAGATTGATTGAATCCTTGAATTTCCCATATAATATCTTCTTCAGTTCAGCCATCTGAGAAACTACTGATTCCTTCTCTTCCTCTAGTTTCTCCAAGTTCTTGGCAGTAACCTCTTGCATATTCTCTATCCTGCTCTCCACTTCTTCCTTTGGTACGTGAGCAAAAACTTCCCCTATCTGGAACCGCACTATCTCTTCATCGGTCAGAATTAGCTCGTTGCTCGCATCCTCAAGATTTTCGCATGTTTCCTGACAAAGATTAAATTGGAGTCAGTAGAGAAACAACGGAAGGTACGTTAGGAGAGATTTAGCCATAGAAGTAAATCTGTAAGCACCTTCTTTTGAAGTGTCAAGGTAAAAGTAAAGTAGTAGAATAAGGTGTCAAAGAAGGAAAATTAGAAAGCTAAATGCACAGCAGGAAGCATCATTTCCCCAGCACGTGCAGGCAAATGGATAAATACAACAAATCTATGAGAATAAATTTCGAAAAAAAGAACTAATCTATGAGAATATAATTATCCAGAAATTTTTTGAACTATTATCTTTAAGTGACAATGTGGACACAACGTCTTAAAACACAATGTTCTATAGCCAGTATACAGATACACGCTGTATATCACAAAGAATCTCAGTCTTTTCAAAATCATACTAAGCTCTACAAAATGCTGTTAATTTGTCAAGTAAATGCAACATACACAATCGTAGCTAAGGGTATACTATGTCCAGAATATTATCAGCTGAATTTTTTATTGTGGATAGTATTCAAGAGTCTTAGGCCGGTAGGCCCTAGTGTTTTGCAGCTAGTATGCAGATACACACTTTATATCAGAAAGAATCTCAGTCTTTTCAAAATCAAACTAATTTTTAAATACTCTTGTTAATTTGTCAAGTAAATACAATGCACATAATTCCAGCAAACAGTATACTATATCCAGAATTTGTTTCCTGATAATTTCATTACATCAAGAATATTATCAACTGATTTTGTTCTATCAAAGCAATAGAATCCTTATTCTTCAAAAGCAAACAATGATTGACCTTGGAGAAATACAAAATGCATGTAAGTTTATTTACACAGGTAATCAATTCTGGCCCAAATACCTGGAAGGGACTTGACTGGGTTTTCTGATACCATTCAATTTCATGCCCAAAACATGTGTTTAAGTAGTTAATATGCAAGCCAATTAGAGGTAGATACATATATTTATTTCAATATGAGTCTAATGAAGATATGCTCATATGCTCCTTCTCAAAAAGATATGCTCATATGCTTGATTTTTTTATACATTTAGTCATGGCCAAAATACATGTTGACTATTTAAATATGCAAGCTAAATAGAGGTACATACATATATTTATCGCAATATAAGTCTAATATAGATATGCTCATATGCTTGGGGAAATCCATAGCATTGGAATATACATAATTTCCATCTCAAACAATCAGTTGTAAATATTCAAAACCCTAGCTATTTCAATTCTTAGGCTTATTTTCCTTGATTCATGACATATATGGTAATTTCTATTAAAAATGTACTGGAACCTGTGGATCTAATATATATATATATATATATATATATATATATATATATTAGATTTTGTGTGTGTGTGTGTTGTGTATAGGGTACAAATTGCTCTGATTTGGTCTTGAGGTCGAAAATTCAATTCACCTTTTTATGAGGGGCAGCATGACTTGTCCAAGTTCACTAAATAAGTACAAGAAAATCTGCCAGGTATCCAAGTTCTTATGGAATTTGATGTATTAACAATCCAACTATGTCAATTGGTGCTGCCAAAGCTCCAGACGACTAAGTTTGGTTTCAACTACCAAGCAGACTACCTTCATAAGATTGTCATGATTAGCAATTTTCTTCACATAGCTTGCTCATGAAGTATGGCATTTACTTTTGACAAACAGTGTAAAATTCTTGCTAGCCTGAAGGTCTTGTTTCTCTATAGTGCAGCAAGTCTAAAACATTTACACCAAAAACTGTTTTCTCCATGTCATACGTAAACCTGTATAGGCACTGGCTCATAGGTGCGACACTAAAATGATTGAAGGTGATAAAAATGGACAAAGTAGACCTAAACCATCTAGACGGGGTTATATTTTTTTTTTTTAATAAGTAGACGAGGTTATCTTAAAAGACCTACAATCTATACGAAACGAATGTGCACTTAACTAAAGACATAACACAATGAAAGCAACAGATCAATATATACCGATACCAACTAGCTGGGATTAAGGCTTACTCTTTTGTGGTTAATGCCTACATTAGCTCTAGTGTTAGACACTTTGTATGTCAAAGTGTGATATTTAAAAAAAAAAATAGTTTCAAATAACCCTTAAAAGTAACATTTTTTTCCTATTTTATTATTGGAATGAATAGGTCTGAATAGAGCAGAATGGATGTGAATGATTCCTAGAGCTGAACCCCAACTAGTTTCAGATTAAGTAGTGATTAATTCCAAAACTACATCGGATTTCCTTTTTCCCATCGAATTTCATAATCAAAGCACTTAAATTTCCCCTCTTTTCAGTATTTAAAACCTATTCAACCGCAAATATATGCACAAACCTACTGAAAGTGGAAATACCTATGAATGAAGTGTTAAAAAAGGAGAGGGATTACCTTAGCAATCTTGATCTCGTCGTGGAGTTCATGAAGACGATTATTCAATCTGCCAAATTTGTTAATATTCTGCTGATCCTCCCATGTTACCTCCACTTCGGAGCCCGAGGTTCCAGCCTTTTTCCACAAAATCAATAATATTTCTTTGAATTTAGAGAAATACCAAATGCTAAAATCGTGAAAGATTAGGGTTTAGTTCACTCACCTGCTGCATTTTCGATTCCACAGGAAGAAGATGGTTTGGCTAGAATGTTCAAACTTCACTCCTATGTTTCAGTATCCAAACTTTAACCCCCACAACGGGTGATTTTTAAAAATAGCCAGATTTACAACTGGTCGTTCAAAAATAGCCTAATTTTAAAAGTAATCGAAATTTAGCCATTTTTTTATGTAAAGATAAATCTGAGCAAAAACACTGTTCAAAACCCGGAAAATACTCCAGTATATTATGCTGGAGTTCCAGCATAAGTATACTTGAACTCCAGCATATTATACCGGAGTTCCAGGATAGTATGCTGGAACTCCAGCATAATATGATGGAGTTCCAGCATAAATACACTAGAACTCTAGCATAATATACTGGAGTTCCAGCAAGTATAATGGTCCAGTATAATATACTGGAGTTTGGAGCACCAGTGCTCCAGTCTCCAGTATATTATACTGGAGCCAGCAAAGTATACCGGTCCAGCATAATATGTTGGAGTTCACACAAGTGCACCAAAACTCCAGTATATTATGCTGGACCGGTCTCTATTGCAGCAAAACGGTGGCTTTTTGTCATTGACTTGGTAAACGCTGGCTATTTTTGATTGACCAGTCCGAAAACTGGCTATACCGTGAAATTTTGGCCCCCACAACTCCAAGGAGGCCCGTGGGTCGGGTAGTATGGAGCGTCGGGTCAAACCCGATTTTACATTCTAGTTTTTGAAAAGGAAAAGAATAATGTTACAAAATAAAAGACAATTCGGTACAAAAAGCAAGAAAATAAACAAATTGTTATAAAATAAAAGCAATATAGCAAGAACTATGTAATTAACTAGGACTAATAATAGAAGAGAATGATAACATTAGAAGAGATGATTTATTTCTTCGTTTGAGAGTGTGAAATAGGTTCATCAGTGAACCTATTTATAGAAATATTTCGTTGTTACGAAACCAATCCAAAACCTGTTATGAATACATAACCAATTTAAAACCTGTTTTGGATACATAACCAATCTAAACCTGTTATGGATACATAACCAATTGTAAAACCTGTTATGGAAGACATCCATCATTGCAAGTGGATGAAACCATTTGCAGGATTTATAACACTCCACCTTGGATGTCCACTAACAGATAATGTGCCTCATTAAAACCTTACTAAGAAAAACCCAGTGGGAAAAGTTTTAGTGAGTACACATATCTTGTAATACGCATTAAGAGTTGCCTCATTAAAAACCTAACCAGGAAAACCCAAATGGGACAAAACCTTGGTTAAGGGAAAAAGAGTACAACGCGTATTTCTCTCCCTGATAAAAAAAACCTTATTTGATATCTCGGAGACGACTCATTCCAATCTTGTATCTTAACTTCTCAAATGTTGATGTCGGCAATGCCTTAGTGAACAAATCTGCCAAATTATCACTTGAACGAATTTGTTGAACATCCAATTCACCATTCTTTTGAAGATCATGCGTGAAAAAGAATTTTGGTGAAATATGCTTTGTTCTGTCTCCTTTAATATATCCCCCTTTTAGTTGAGCTATACATGCAGCATTGTCATCATATAATGTTATTGGGATATCCTTTCCCCATGAAAGACCACATAGCTCCTGGATATGTTGAGTTATTGATCTCAACCAAACGCATTCTTGACTCGCTTCATGAATGGCTATTATCTCTGCATGATTTGAAGAAGTAGCAACCATAGTTTGTTTTGTTAAACACCATGATATGGCAGTACCTCCACATGCAGAGGCGGATCCAGAATTTGAGGCTTATGGGTTCCTACCGTAATTTCAGATTAATATGCAATAATTACTGGGTTCACAGTCAGATATTTACCAATATTTAGTGAATTTCTTAATATAAATACAGGGTCTACGCAAGTTGGGTTCCCGGAAACCCGTAGTCTGTGCACTAGGTCCGCCCCTGTCTACATGTAAATAAATAGCCTGTTTGAGATCGACCTTTATGTGGGTCAGACAAATATCTTGCATCTGCATAACCTATCAGTTGTGACCTAGATTCATTTGAATAAAATAATCCCATATCAATGGTCCCTCGCAGATATCTGAATAGATGCTTAATACAATTTCAGTGTCTTTGTGTTGGGGAAGAACTAAATCTTGCTAACAAGCTTACAGAAAAAGCTATATCTGGTCTAGAATTATTAGCGAGGTACATTAATGCCCCAATTGCACTATGATATGGTATTTCAGTACCTAGAAGCTCTTCATTATTTTCATGAGGACGAAATATATCTTTATTTATATCAAGCGATCTCACAACCATAAGGGTACTCAATGGATGTGCTTTATCCATATAAAAACGCTTCAAAATATTTTCGGTGTACGTTGATTGATGGACAAATATTCCATTTTTCAAATGCTCAATTTGTAAGCCAAGACAAAATTTTGTCTTTCCAAGATCATTCATTTCAAATTCTTTCTTCAAGCATTCTACTGCCTTTGGAAGCTCTTCAGCAGTCCCAATGATATTCAAGTCATCAACATACACAGCTATTATGATAAATTCAGATCCAGATCCTTTTATAAAGACACAAGGACAAATTGTGTCACTCTTATACCCTTCTTTTAATTGGTATTCGTTGAGGCGATTATACCACATGCGCCCTGATTGCTTCAATCCATACAAGGATATTCGAAGCTTTATCGAACAAGTTTCCCTGGAATCTTTGTATGTTTTAGGTACTTTTAATCCTTCAGGGATTTTCATAAAACTTTCGTTGTCCAGTGAGCCATATAAATAGGCGGTGACAACATCCATAAGATGCATATCAAGTTTTTCATGAATTGCTAGACTGATAAGATACCTGAATGTGATTGCATCCACCACAGGAGAATATGTCTCCATGTAATCAATGCCAGGATATTTACGAAAAATCTTGTGCCACAAGTTATCTTTATATCTATAGACTTGATTTTGCATTTTACTTTTGCACAAGAACATATGTTTACCTCCACTGGGCTTTATACTTTCAGGTGTTGGGACTATACGTTCAATTTCACATTTTTCAGGTGAAGTCAATCTTGATTGCGTATTTTTCATTTTGGCCAATCATTTATCTGTCCACATTCTATGACAGATTTGCTCAAGATCCTCGTCAATATTAATAATATTGAGCGCTACATTGTATCAATAGTATCGTCGATGATCATTTTATATCGGTCTATCATCATTCAATAAAGACATAACTTATCGAGATCTCATTATTTTCAGGTACCTGAGCCTCTCTTATGAGGTGTTATAAAGTGTCATGTCGCGATGCTCTTATAGAGCACTTGCCTTCTTATTATGACCATCTTGATCATTTGCTCCTATCCTTCTTCAAGGAGTTCTATTTTTGAACCCGATTAGTCAATTATACTTCATGTGTGCCGTAGACTCTGTCCTTCATGGACTTATCCTTTTTTTTTGGAGCACTAGCAGCTGAAATATGATAATTTAGCTTTGGGTCAATAAATGTGCCTAGCAATATTTTGCAAATGAATTATCACATGAACTTCAAGTTCATATTTTCTTGTGTGAGAATATAGATGTACTCATAATAATTCATTTCATGTAATATTTTTTTTAGCTGCCCATTTTCTCCCCTTAATATTGGATAACAAAGACATATCCCCATCATTCTTTAGGGACTCATCTTTATGCGTTATGGTGGAGCAATTAAATCATATAGCACATTCATATTTCTAGATGTAGTTTATTTGGTTCCTGATCCTGAACCAATTGTGATAGGGATAATTTATCAATAATTTGTTGGCTAGATGCGTACAAGTGCTGCTATATATTAAATAATACATCTCATACCAAATTTTATTTTTGGAAGTTTTGTTCTCATAACCAATTGGTTCGCTATTGTTGGAGGCATATAATTTCTGCTAAACCAACTTGGATTTAAACCAGCACTATCAAGATAAATCATCATAATTTACGTTCTGGAATTGTGCTCTAATAATTTGAGCAAGCAACCTTGCAAAAGCCAAACTGCAAGTTGATAACAAACGCACATGTGACTATATAATAGATGCATCTATTAAAATTATATAATAGTAAATAGTCCACATGGCAGGTGACTGGGCCCATATATATATCACCTTTTATTCGTTCCAGAAATCAAGGGATTCAGTCCCTACCTTAACTGGTATATCATGAGAATAAGCAGCACAAGAGAATTTTTGAAGAATCTTCTATTTTTTCAATATATGCCAATGTGAATTCTTAATCATTTGCGATCGTAATTGAACCGGGATGGCCTACCAGTCATGCCAACTAATATTTGTTTTAGTAAACCTCTAGTTTACTTGTGGCATGCGATTGCATCATCATACTTATACTTGTGTAGTACAAATAGAAGGAAAGTCGGATAACATTTTATATTTACCCGGTATGATTATAGTAATATGAATATATTCAACCTTCCCTTCATTTATAGTCTCAATATGCCAACCACTTTGGCTTATACATTTGAAACTCAAAAAGTTTCTTTTGAGACTTACTACAATATCAATGTCATGAATAATTTTATTCATCCAGGTAATAATAAATTAGTTCCTCCGGAACTCTTAATTGATTTTGTACTACAAGATCTTTTGTCACACCATTCATATGGTGAATGTCTCTTTCACAAAGAAAGTTAGATTATAATAAAGTGTCATGGTCAAAGTCATCATAAGCAGAATTATTTCTTGCTTGAATTTTGCCTTTAATAACCTTTTATAAGGCATGTCAATATATATTTTTGACGTACCACATGTACGCATCAATGACATATTCATGTAACCACACAGTGATATTCATTATCTTTCTTCCTCTTAAACCTTCCTTAAAGGTGAGTTGTGGTATGTATCCAACACGTCTTTGTTCACTACACACATATTGCTACATTCACTTTCAGGAATGAGTCTGCATTCTAAATGTTTATCACAAGTCACATTCTCTTCAGGGAATGGAGTAGAATCATTGCAACGTGATTTATTATTTTCCATACCAATTTGATGGTAAACATTGCCTTTACCTTCATAAATGCATATTATGCCTTAATCATCCGGGCTCGAACCCTCTTAT